GTTGTTTGAGCAGGTAGTCTACACAATAAGAGTGGCCTCCGAAAGTCCTCTGCACAATTGAGTCGCCTGCTCAAACCGCCTGCGCAACGTCAGTCCACTATACAAGTCGTCTTCACATATCGTCTGCAAAAACATAGTCACTTGGCGCAAGTCTTCTGTACCACACGAGTATTCTTCACAAATCATCTGGTTAACCGGACTTGCCTACACAAATCGTATCCCAAGCCTGTCAATTTTGATACCTGAATACGCCTCCTTAGTCTCTAAACCTGTCTAAGCCTATCTTGTTGCATTGAAAGTGGCAACTAGAAGGACTTCCGTAATTCACCGATGTCTGGACAAGTGTAGAATTCCGTATCAAGGCACTCAATGGCTTAGCCATGTGAGCGGGGTTGAGATAGCTTTTTTTTTGATCAGGCTTTTCAAATGATCATCTTACGCAGTTGTTGGAATCAATCTTGGTGATCTCATTTTATTAAAGCTTTTTCTAAGGTTTTTCCAAGGTAAGATCAGGAGAATGAGTAGTGAAAAATTCCTCTGGGTGTTCGAGCATAGCTTATATTTTTTGGCCATACAAATGGAATTTTTTTTTCAAATTGCTCTTTTAAACGGCGGTAAATGAAACAACCATGAATCATCACTCATCACTCAAAGATCTGTTTAATACGTATTAAACAACAATTAGGCTAATTGAGTGTTAAAGTCCATGGTTCCGAACAAGAAAAGGGACAATAAGCGTCCGTGGGGATAGAATAGACCCTTGAAACTTTAGTCTTTTTCGATTGACAAACTAAAACGTGGGCTGAGGCCTAATTAATGACCAGTACTGGACGTCGATTTGTACGTTGGTATAAAGATTTTTTGATAAAAAGAGAAATTAGAGCCTATTTAGTTGAAATATATGATATGTTAATTGTTTCAAACATTAACACCTTAAATTGAAAAAAACACAGCGTTTGTTTAGAATTCAAGCAATCTGACAAACTATGATAATTTTCTTCTGAGCCTTTGTTCAATTTTGGGTTCCTTAATGAAACTTTTGTCCATGGTGCAGAAAAATAATTAAATTTGCTTAAACTATGAGTTTTTAAATGGTTTTTTGTTATTTAAACGGTCAATTTGTTGCAAGCTATCACAAAAGGAAACAAGTTTAACGTTACGAGGCCAAACTGAGCACTGAAAAGGCGCACAATTTTGTGTCTGCATGTTCCTGGATTCCAGTGACAAGTCTTTAAACATGTTGAAGTTTTGTCAGAACGATCAAAGGAAATGAAAGAATAAAAGAAGAAAAAGGGCGCGTCCTTGTTGCGGAATCCGCTTACAATTCACAAAATCCACAGTTTGGCCTCGTAATGAAAGAACTCAACTTCAGAAAAGTATATATTTTTTCAACACAACAGCAAATAAAACAACTATCAACAAAATATTAATGACTTGCGATACGGCCAAAAGACAGTAAGTACCCGCAGCCAAGTTTAAATGTAAGTAATCGATTATAACGGATTTTTATGATGATTTTTTGACGATTATAATCGATTATAATTACCAAAATCAGGTCTTTAAAGGATTTATAATTGAATATAATCGTGATATTTTCCAAGAAGTTATAATCTCTTAAAATCGATTATAATTGATTATAATCGATTATAATCTCTTATTTTGCCGAAATTTTCCTATACTCGAATTATATCTTATGGGTTTTTTTTATTTTTGTGTCAATAAGAAAATTTCTAACAAAGAGATCTCTTGAACACTTTGGTTCATCTGAACACAAAAGTTTACCACGAAACAAAAGTTTCATAGAGATCCTTTCATATGAGTGGAAAGGTTCCCGCGGTAGATGAAAAAAAAATTTTCTGAATCAATCATGAAACTAAATCAATTTGCTGATGTTTTAGTGTTTAAAAAAGCTTAAAACATGCATCACAAAACAACTCTTATGAGGAAGAAATAAAAAAAAACTTAAAAGTTCGAATTAATTATACAAACTTTAAAAATATTTTTCTCATTTTTCATAGGAACCAACGTCCACAAAAAGCATAAAACATAAGCAATTTAGATGCAACTTCGAAGACAAAAATGGACAAACAAAAAGGATTATAATCAATTTTAATCGATTATAATGGGTTTTTGTGCAAAACTAACGAAATAGAAATTTGAATAAAAATAAAGGATTATAATCGATTATAATTGTATCGAAAAATAGACGAATAATTAATCGATTATAATCGATTATAATGGATTACATTTAATTATAATTTAATTTTTAAGAGGGAGATTATAATCGATTTGTAATTGATTAAAATCGATTGTTTCTCAATTTCAGTAAGACTGGTACTAAAATCGTAGTATGATCGATTATTAACGCTTGAAACCGGATGCGGGTAAAACTTACAAATAATTAGAATAAACTACTATGAGGGACTTAAAATCACACTTTTGACGCCTAGCGGTTTGTTAGGCCATTCTGGTAAGTTTGATGTACCGCACGCTGGCAAAATTGACGCAGACTAACTTATCGAATAATATTTAATAACAGCAATAAGTTCGAGTTGAAACACAAAAAAAAAATTGTTTTTTAAGTTACTCTCTTAAGCGGCAGTATACGAAAGTACTATGAATCACTCATCACTCAAAGAGCTGTTTAATTGGTTTAAATCAACAATTAGGCTACTTGAACAGCCAAGTTTATGGCTTTGAACCAGAATAAGGACCAAAACAATCTGAGGAAGGTTGAAATGGGTCCTATATCCTTTAGTTGCTATATAAATGACTAAATTAAGCGGGGACTGGGGCGTATATGAGCCCATGTTTTATAGTTACTGGAGGTCGACGTATAGGTCGATCTATGGACTCGTGATAATTATAGAAATCAAGTAAAAAAAAATTTTCAGTTCGAATATATGTTAACTGTTCTAAGCGTTAACATCTTTAAAAGAAAACCACATTATTTGCTTTTAACTGAAGCAATTTGGCAAACTAGGAGCATTAGTTTATATTTGAGTCTTATAAAAACGCTTTTATCTACGTTGTTAGAAAAATAAATAAGATGCTCAAACTAAAAATTTTCAAGCAGTTTTTTGGTTTTTAAGAGATTGATTTGTTGACCAGTTATCACAAAAATAAAGAATTCGAACGAACTCAATTCTAGAAAAAGAAGTTTTTAAAAAAGCCAGAGCAAATTAACAAACATCAACATAAAATTAACGACTCCACCGTAGTGTCTAGATTTCTCAGAATAAGGCTTGTTATTTTTAAAATTACTAGCAAAAAAAACCAATCAGACGCTCAAAAACGCAGAAAGTTTTTTTCTTCAAACTACTAGGCTGGTGAAGCTATCTAAAGTGCCTAATTAGCAAGAAATCCTTCGATGATTTCTTGAAGTTTAATTTTTTTTGTCTTGAATACGCTTGAAGTTTATTTTTTTTTGTGAGTCAGAACTTGGTCAGAACGTTCATTTTTTGAGACGTTCATTTGATGTATGAACGTCTCAAAAAATGAACGTTCATTTGATGTATCGCCACACTTTTTAGGTGTAAATTTCATGTTTCGCCAATTTTGTACAGTAGGGCTATTTCATAAACAAATGATTTCTAAGAAACAACTCATTTGACTTGATATAGACTCCGATTTAAATTAAGACATTAATCAGGATTCAGGAATCATAGACTTTGAAAATCTGATTTAGAAAATGACAAAATATTCATACGAGTTTATGTTTCTTCCAGGCATTTTTTAACAAACTTTTCACTAGCTTTCGACATTTTTCCATAGCATTTGAAAAAATTAAAATTCATTACAACCTTGCTTTCAGTTGGACAGTGATCGTATTTCAAAAATTTTGTGATATGAAACTAGCAAATTTAGTTTGATGGAGACTTAAACCAAAAGTTAATTTTAAAAAAGAGCAAATATTGGGGAAAACTAGAGTCAAAATAAAAAAAAATGTCTTACACTTATTTGCATCAATTATTTGCATTGTTTTAGAGTTAGTTTCTCTTTTACAATTTTCCCAGCGATTTTATTTGTAAACAAAGTCAACTTCTTTAAGTTGTAAATTTAAAATTTAAAGCGAATTGCGGAAAAAAAATTCAAGTTAAACTTTTTTTCCTGACACTCACTTTAATTCTTTTAATTAAGTTCATAGGTTTCAGTCGTTTTAAGAGATAAATAATTGAAAAACATAAGACGACTGAAATTTACGATGAAACTTCAACGCACCTAAAAGAATTCCTCCTATTTCGCCTAATGCATGATCAACTGAGTTTCCCAATTTTTATACATCTGTTTTGGACAGTCTCTCAAAAAATAAAGACAAATAGTAGCTGGAATTGCGGTTTGAGTTAGTGTTTAGTTTTATAAAAGGTTTTAATTCATTAATTTTTGCCCTTGTTTTCTCTTTTACTGAAAATATACAAACTTCAGATTGCAGTTGAAGATGAAAAAAACCCATTTACTGCACCGATCGTCTTACATTGTCCAAAAGAGCCCAGTTAAGCCTCTCGTATTCAACTGCAAATATTGTCTATATCAAAACGAGTGAACATGTTTGTAATTTTTTTTGGATGACATCCAATCATCAGTTCAATTTTTTCCTTGCAAAAACTCGCTCTCTTTCATGTTGGCTCGTGGCTGCGTCTTACTCCAGAAAGTTGCACGTCTCAAAGAACTGAACATTTCGTCGTTGAACAATTTTTAACGATTGACTAGCTATACTTTCTAGCTTACACACGTCTTACAACAATTAATGAAGCTCATTTTCGCAAAAATACGTTACAAAAAACTTCAGATTTTTGTTTGACGTTATGGCATCAATGAAACAAAAACTAAAAGCACACGTCACAAGACAAGTTTTTTTACTAAAACTCAGAAGGTCCAGATTTTAAAAACTCTTTGGCTAAAGTAGCACACAAACTGTTTAATAAAAGAGGCTCGTTCTTCTGGCGACAGAGCAAAATAAAAGTATTTTTTTTGCATGTTTTTTTTTGCAATGCTATCAATTCATGTTTTTTTAATTCTTCTTAAAGCGAACAAACAGATCAAATCTTTTGTGATTTTGGTTTACCAAACAGAGTTAAACATTCGACAAATATAGCTTGCTAAAAAAAAGAAAAAGAGCACTATAATATATTCTACTTACGTTATTTAATTTTCTGAAAGCAGAATTAACTTTACAAGTGTGAAGAAAAAAAAATAGGTAAGTAAAATATATCATTTTTTATTACAGGCCGACAATAATAATTTTTCTTAGTTTTCACTAGCTTTGAAAAAATAAAAATCAATGTCATTGATCAGTTTCTTTTAAGTGTCGTGCTCTATTTTCGAGATTTCTTTTTAGGGGGATTTTCTGTATTACGGAGGAAAACAAAAAAAATGTGATTCGGCTGCCAAAAATGGGAGGGACTATTTCTGCCTGGAACATTTAGACCCATTTTGATTTGTTAATTTCCTGTTTTTGATGCAATGGGTTTTAAACCCAAAGCTCAATTATTAAAAATATAAATTTAGATGTTTACGTTTCTGACGAAAATATGGAGGCTTGCGATTTTTCAATTTGGCCGATTCGCGATAATCATTAAATTTTTTCCGAGCAACCTCAGTCTTTATCTTCAGCCTTTTCCTTGTAAGACAATTCAGCCAGACTAATGAAAACTCTAGCCACGTGCTTTCTACTTCTTTTGCTGATTTCTGGCTTAACGAACTGAAACGAACACAAGTTTTCGCTTTTTGCCAATTCCGTGTCAAAAATAACTTTTCGGCTGATTATAATCATGCTGGCTTAAAGCCTGTGACTGTGAGCGTTCAAGAAAAATTAACCGCATCTGAGTTTATGTGAGCCACTAGAAAGATTGTGTTTTTTTTGTGAAGGTTGTGGTCTTTTTATATGTTTTTAAAATGCTTTTTAGGACTACTTTGCGCTCATCATTGAGCTCAAAATTAATAAAGGTCTTTGATGACATAGAGGCGCTCCTAAAAAGTTCAGATTCCCTTGGACACCTTCCATTATTCTAAATATTCTGTAAGGATTTAGATTTTTATATTCATTTTTTTGTGCTTATCAAAGTTTTCGACGCAAATTTTAATTCTTTTCCATAGTTTTTCTTTTGGCCCTTCAGAGGTTTGTTTTTTAAATTCAAAAGTTGGATCAAACAGCTCTTTCATTTAATGCTTACTTATAATTTTCATTTTAAGTGTTTACTCAATTGTTCTAATTTTTTATAAATATTAATATATGTTTTTTTCTCTAGAAAACTGCCTTGTCGGATAGTATGCCAGACATTGTGGGGATCGATCTTGGAACGACAGCATGTTGTGTAGCAATTTGTAGGGCAGACGGAAGAGTGGAGGTCATTGAAAACAAGCACGGAAAAGCTATCACACCATCCTATGTGGCATTCGGTGAGAGACAGAGATTTGTTGGTGACGAAGCTAAAACTCAGGTGCATTTTTTTTATTGATTTACAGTCCTCATGCTTGCTAACTCAGTTTATTTGCACAAATTATGTGTATAAATGTTGAAAAAATTGTTTAAAGCTGGAATCAAATGCTGAAAACACAATATATGACGCAAAGCGGATGATTGGACGGAACTTTAATGATGCAAATGTCCAGACTGGTATGAAATATTGGAAGTTTAAGGCTATTGAAAAAAATGGCCTTCCAGAGTGTGAGGTGATGTACTGTGGTAAACGAGAGAGTTTTACACCAGTTCAAGTATCCACCATGCTTCTATCACAGCTGAAAAAGGACGCCGAAGAGTTTTTGAAGAGTCCAGTTCACGATGCGGTCATAACAGTTCCAGCCCATTTTAACAATGGACAGCGAGAAGCTACAATTTTGGCCGCTAAAGTTGCAGGTTTAAAGGTTCATCGCATAATTAACGAGCCAACTGCTGCAGTGCTGGCTCATTCAAAGGAGCACAATTTTAAGACCGGAAACAAAAAAGTTCTAGTATATGACCTGGGAGGTGGAACGTTCGACATCACTATTGCAGAATGTCAAGATGCCGTTTTGGAAGTGATTTCAACTTCTGGTGATTCGTTCTTGGGAGGTCGTGATTTTGATAAAAATTTGTTTGATTTAGTTGCACCGGAAGTAGAAAAAGCTTGTGGAACAGGTTTCGAAAACGACAACCGAGCGTCTATGCGGCTGTTGCAAGCATGCAATATAGCCAAAAATGAACTCTCTTCCTACACAACGTCAACCATTTCCCTTGAAAATTTCTTTAACGGGAAAAATTTCTCTACAACGGTGAGCAGAGTTCGATTTGAAAAGAAGAACGAGCATCTGTTCAAAAAAACATTGGATTACATTCAAGCAGCACTCAATGAAGCAAAACTGAAGAAAGAAGATATAGATGAAGTTCTACTGGTAGGCGGATCCACCAGGATCTGTAGAATCCAAAACTTATTGAAAGAGTTTTTTACGGATGACAAAGTAATAAATTCAAGAACACCAGAAGAAACTGTCGCCCGTGGTGCTGCAATTCAGGCCAGTTTAGTCAGCATGAATCACCCGCCTGAGATGATGGCTGTCGTTTTAATCGATGTTTGCTCGCTTTCTCTCGGAGTTCAAACGAAAGACGATAAGATTTCTTTCATCATCAAACGTAACAGACCAATTCCTTGTAGCGAATCTAAGGAGTATGTAACTACCGTTGATTATCAGAAAAACATTGAGTTACATATTTACGAAGGCGAGCGGCCTATTGCCTCTGAAAATTTCAAACTAGATTCATTTAAATTAGATGGAATAACACCTGGATTGAAAGGGCAATTCAAATATGTTGTCACGTTCACTATAGATGTGAATGGAATTCTGAACGTGAAAGCAGAAGAACGCTGTTCAGGAAAAAGCGAAGAGATCAATATAACGCGCGAGAGGCGCGCTCCCGAAGATGTTCAGACTATGATTGCAGACGAGAAAAAATTTGAAGCCCAAGACAGAAAAGAGCTACGAAGATTGAAACTTAAAAAAGAACTTGAAGATTACTTGTATCAGGTAATGAAAAACCCGTAGCATTTTATAGCATTTTAAGAAAAGATATGGCATGGAGACTACTACGGTCCGTGGGTCGTCATCAAAAGTTAAAGGGGCAAACAAAGCGAACATCATTTAATTAGGTGTTAAAAGTTTTTCAGCAGCAAAAACAAACTAGATTTTAAAGTTTTTTCAGCGATATAATTTTTTTTTCCGTTCAAAAAATGGTTGTTTTGTTAATCCATTGGGCATACAGCTGAAAACTGGGCATACAGATGAAAAAAACAGTAAAAATCTGTATTTTGAAAAATTACGTGGGCTGACATCTCCTGTCCGACTTTTCGGACAATTTGCTCTAGTTACTTAGTTTTTTTTTTTGCTAAGATTCAGTTTCAAACATGATTATTTTGCTCATTATTTTGTGGAGATGATTAGATTGGGATCCACTTCAGTTTAGGTGCTTCTTGCTCCAAAAACTATGAGCGATAATTACCAATTACTAACCCAGCAAAAAATCCAGAGGTACAGACTGTCAAATGTTAGTTTTTGCAGTTGAAGGTCTAAAAAAACAAGTTTAAGTTAACGTATTAATTGATATCATCAATTACGTCAAGACGAAGTATGTCCGAATTGGTTGAAAATGCATGAACTTTTCAATAAGTTAAAGAGTGTTTTTTTAATCAATGAAGAGCTTTATATCAAGCAAATTGGTACCGTAGAAACCTAATTTAGCAATTACAATCGTTTCAGTTGGGAAGAAAAAACAAACTTGAGAACTCAACACTGTCCCAAGAAATCTCAAACACTATGAAATGGCTCAATGACAAATCAATTACAGAACAGGAAATCAGGATGAAATTTGATGCCATCAGAAATGTTTATAACTAAAGTTCAGAAAAATGATGTTATCTACTGTGTAAATAAATCTGATCCAAAATTTTAACTATAAGTGCGATTGTTTTCTAACAAAAATCATAACTAATTCACTGATATGTATCTGCCATCTTCAAGCTACTATACTAACCCAATTGTCAAAGTAAACTTCATTTTGATAGATATAATGAAATCACAGGAAATTTCTAGATTATTCTGTATGTTATTCGAGTTGAACGCAAAAGTATTATAGCAAAAAGAAAACTGAAGCTTATAGAAATAAAGCAGAAATGAACAGAAGAATGAAAAATGCCTGTAGAAAAAATAAGATTTGAATGAAATCAGTATATGATTATAGAAGCTTTTGAAGTCTGTATAAAACCGATTATAGTATAAAAACTGATGATGTATGAGAAAATAAGGAAACCCAAAAAAGTGCTTTTATTTGATTCCTTTTTTGCCCAGGAACTATGAAGAGAGTAGAAAGACTGACTTATTATTCATCTCCTATAAAATTTGTGCAAGTTTTGTTGCGAGTGCTGCTTGTTTTCCAGAGAAAAAAGACAAAGAAATACGCAAAGATTTGTCTTTTCTGAAAATTTGTAAATTTGTCTGTTTAACACCATCATAGTGATCTTGTCTTTTCAATTTCAAAAAAAACAACCAAAAATTTTTAATATAGAAAAAAATGATAGAAAATTCGAAAATTCAAATCACAAAAATGCTCCTAACAAATATGGAGGATCTTTAAGGAGGATCTCACATTGCTTAAAGAAGATCTCATTTTGCTGGCGAAATCCTAGATTATTTCAATACCTCCTTGGTGACTTTTGTTTGATTGCTCAACAAACTAGCATAATGAAAAGTATGTCGTTTCTAACAAATTTTTGATCAGTATGCAATTCAAGAAGTATCATAAACTTGGCACTTAAAAAACCTTTGGCAGTAATGTGGTCTTAATTGAAATTATTATTATTATGAAAAGCCACAAATTTAACACAAATCATAACACGTAGACACTAGAAAAAGCGAAGAAGCCACTAAGTAAACACTTGCGGATAATAATTTTAGTGTAATTTTTTATCTATAGAGTTTGATTCTATAGTTTAACGTGACGGCTCATTATTTTTATCTAACCATCCTCAGAAATACGGCACATAAAACACCTTTCCCTAGCAAGATCATTTTTTTCCTGTAGCCTGCAATTTTACTTCGTGTTCCTTGTGATTTTAATTAGAAAACTATTACAAAGAGAAACACTGAATTAATAAAATGGTCAATGAAGCAGAACACATTTTATCAAGAGTAAAAAGAGGAACAAAAGAAGTTATCAGAACCAAACATTGAGTTGTTTAAAGTAACTTAGATCTTTTTCGGTTAGGTGATCACAAGATAATTCGTTGAAAAAAAACTATTTGGCTGAAGCCTCAACCTTACAGCCTTTCCAAGTGTTATCGAAAATTGGCAGCTAAAATTACCAAACAACTCTATTGATAATGTTTCTTCACTTTTTTGATCAGAGGATAAGAAGTTGTGTTTTTTAGTTTTTCATGCAAAAATTTAAACCACATGCAAACTTAAACAAAAAAAGTTTGCCTTTGTACTTGCTTGTCAAGGCTAAACTAAATTAAGCGTCCTTAGTACGTTCTTTGAATTTGCAGTTTTCGTAACTTGAACAGTATAAGGTATCAACATGTATTACTTCATTATTTATAAGTTTGTGAAAGTATATTAGAAAAATTATCTTTCTCTAGGAAGCACTTTTGATGTGTTTTCAGAGAAAATGAACTTTCATGTTTTCCTATAAACATGTTTTAACGGGCCAAAAATATTACCCGTTAAAATTTTTAGCGCATTTTCCCAACAGTGAACTAGTAGCAGTAGTGATTAATTTGGTGTAATTGGGCTGGCTGAGAGCGGCATTTTTTAGAAGTGTAACCTTGTATCTAAAACGCAGCGGAGTTTTCAGTTGAGCTAGATTTCGTTTTGCAATTGCTATTTTACTTAGAACGGTTTTAACTCCTGGCTGCATTGTGAGTATTTTGTCAATGACGTCTCCTAAATACGTAACTTAAGTTGTTTCTTTGATTAAAGTGTCTTTATCTACAATTTGTTCTCTCAAACTGCTTTCAATATCGACTTGTTTTCACAGAAGAATTCTCTTTTGTCTATGTTCTAAGTTAGTTTTTGCCATTTGAGGACTTTTAAAGGTCTAACAGGTTGCTATTTCATTATTCAATTGTTCTCTAATTGCTTAGCCATGTAAATGACAAAAAAGCCGTAAATGAGCGGAACCAATAACACTCTTTGGGGTACTCACTGCTTGATTTCGAGTATATCTGAGAAACAACCATTTACATTGGTTTTCTGGGTTTTTGAGTCAAGAATTTGTTGGAAACCTTTGTTTTGAAGCCCAAAAAAAAATTTGTTTTTCAGTTGTTGTTTCTGTGAAACTGAATCAAATGTTTTTGACAGGTTTATTTGTTTGTGTTTTCGTTGATAGTTTTTTTGTCCGAGAATTTCAGAAGCGCACTGTTGTAGAGGAGTGCTGATGGAAAGCGAACTGATTTACAGAAGTAAATTAATTTTCGCTTAAGCAAAGAACTAACGAACTGTTTTTGTAGTAGCGCTTCTTAGACTTTTGACGCTGGTATTTATGACGGCTCCGATTATTTAAATTTGCTAATAGATTTGAGTTTATTGTGAATATCTTTCTGAGTAAACAAGCTAATTTTAAACTCGTTTAGTCTGTGTTATCAACCGGGCATTGTGTCGCGGTCGAATGACTTGTTTTCATCACAGTAGTTTCCCAAAGTAAAAAAAACTTGTAATTGAAAAAATTTGGGATCAATTTGTTGTTTGTTATCAAATCGTTGATTGATATTTCAAGAAACTTAACAGTTGAAATGTTTTTTAACTTGTTTCTCAAAAAGTCTATAAGTTTCTATTTAGTATGATACCTTTAAAAATAAATACAATATTATGTGCCCGAAATGAATTGAATTCATCTCAATTCAATGTTTTTTTTCTCACTTAGTTAAGCTTTGGCTTCAGTTGTTTTATCATCTTTCAATTTTTCCTTTAGCGTGACTTTTTTTCATGGCTTAGAGTAATTGTTTTCATCACAAAATTGACTTCTGTAATTGTTTTAAATTGGATTAGACATCTTCAATAAAGAGACAGTTTTCATAGGGGCCGAATTGCTTAAAGCTGATGACGATTAGATTTCGAGCTGTTCATCGGGCCTTTGAGTTATGATATTGGATTTCAGTTTAGTTTTTTCAAATGCTTTTGGAACTGATTTTTGTTGTATTGTTTTTTTTCAAAATTTAAATTTTTGCTACTTTTCTTCAGCATATATTGTTTGTCTGAAGGAACGTAACTGAGCAAAACTGATTGTAAAATATGCTTAAACCACCTTTTATCTTTTTTGATGTTTGAATCACTGATCATAATACCTCTAATGGTTTCTGAGTTGTGAGAGGTGCCTGTTCTAATCTAAAGCGATTTTTAGTCCGTACAAACTTATGACGGTCTCAAAACAGTTTAGGGTATTGTTGTTTAAAAAGTTTACATAAGAGTCACCCATTAAGACAAGGGTTTTTTCACCTGACGTCACACGAATCAACGTCACAGGCTAAATTATCAAGAAAAAAATCGTTTTGCTATGTGTAAGGCTAGATTCGGAAAACAGCTTGTTTATTTTGTTGAGCACATAAGATGAACTTCATCCAAAAGCTCTCAGAAAGGGTGCTATTAAGATGTTTTTTCTAGTTCATCTCTTAAAAAGGAATTCGTTTTTAGGAATGTATAAAACCAAAGAGCCCCCTCTTGACTTTTTCTTTGATCAATTTGTCGAAAAAACTGATAACTAGGAAACATCAGTATGTTTCGGGAAAAACTGGATTGAATATAAGTTTTTGCTATTCTATGTAATGTATGTTCCCAAGTAGTTTCAAGAAAATTTTGTTGCTTTTGATTTTCCCGTTGGTGCTCTCAATGTTTAGATTAAATAAATTTATAGATTAAATGTTTGTTCGATTCATTGCTTGCTTTTTCAGTAAATGGTGGCACTTCACAGACAATGGAATTATTGGTGAAGACTAATCACAGCTCATACCGTTTCGGTTACTGAAGTCATTTAGGATTTTGTATGCGCCCTTTCCGGTATTCAATGTTTTGTTTGTGCCAACTTGCTTCTCTAGACTTTTCAGTTTTTCGGATCGTATTTTCCAACTACGTTAGTTTTTTCCTCGGAGCTGCTATAAGCAATTATCTGAGTGTCTATGGGGATGCAATGGTTGCTCACTCGCCAAAGTACGCTGTTTCCTATGATCAAATTTGTAATTTGATCTTCAACTTCTAATGGTTTCAAATGGTTTCTAACCTTTTCTCTCTCCATGGATTTAACCTCTATTGCTGATTCGAATCCAAAACGGAGGCCACTTGCTTACAAGAGAGTCCATCTAACTTCTGGCCGATTGCCAATAACATCTTTTGTTGATCGACTCAAAGGGAATTTTTATTAAGTAAGGTGACGTATATTCGATAACAATCCTTCTTGGAAAGCTTTTTAACGACTGGAAACTAAGCTTCTCGATTTAAGTTTATTGAGGAAGTATTCTGAGAGCGAAGTTCATAAATCGCTGAATAAGAAATTGAATAAAACTTTGTGTGAGATAGATATTTGCAGCAAAATTATCGAAATAATTGAATTGTACTTCTAGCTCATACATCTGAAAATAATCCGGGAATAATTTTGTTGAAGGGCTTTTAATAAGTTTATTACAACTAATTTTATTTTTTCATAAGTATCGTTTAATTAGGGGTAGCTAAGGTTTCTATACGTTTAAAATTAACAACAGAGAGCAGAATGCGTCTATTTCCACTTGCATATAATCCTTCCGTAGGTACAATATTTGGGGTGGAACGAGTGTTTTCACAAGGTCAACATCACACATTCGAAAAGTTTCGACTGAGTTAGTTGGCTCGAACGCCATTTTTCATTGTATTTGAACATTTTGTATGTGATAGTTTTCTCAGAGTAAAAGGTCGCATAGAGGGAAAAATAATTTCTGGTCCAATGTGCGAATCTGGTGCAAGCTTACATTTCATCGTATTTTTGCACTTTGCTGACTAGGTTTCGGTAAAATTTGCTGACAAGAAGCGAGAGGTGTGTTTGTGAGGATGAGCAAAAACATCAAAAATATCAAATTCCATCCATCTTCCTCAATGAACACGCGTATATTTGGTATAGAATTGCATCCTGAAAATAAGCTTTTGGGATTAAACGTACACATTCACATATTCCAACCTTCCTATTGCTCAATTTCCTGTGAAGTTTTTTGGTTATCAGAAACAAATCAAAGCAAAATTTTTCTCTACGGATTACACGGACTATATAACCGGCTTTGTAGCAGATAAACAATCGAACCAGACTATCAGAAACTTTAATTTAACTGTAGCTTCAGTAGAGCGACAATTATTGTATAAAAACGATTTCGAAAAAGTAATAAAACCCCTCATGGCGTTTCTAGGCGCGCTTTTTACTTTCAATATCTTAGATATTAGCGTCTAGTAACAAATTAAATTGC